TTGCGCTGGGAGTAGGCCTTGAAAACTCCTTATACCACGGTGTTTCGTCCCCTCCCTCAGCAAGCTGTGCGACTGGCGACACTAGCCCGGAATAGGCAAAAAGGAAATCCGCCAGCGGAGCAAAGATCATCTTGCAAGCCTGCAGAGTACGAGTGAGGTGTTCTGAACCCAGTCGCCCAGTCCTGAGAGAGCATGTGATGCATGCCAGCATGGTCTTCACGACCTCTGGGATGCACTTGTTCATCTGGCTTCCGGCATGGCGTGGCTCATGACGTACCCCGTATTGGGTACTGGGGCTCCAGCTATCCGCCCTTGTGCGGTCTTCTGAGCCCTTACATACATACATACATACATACATACATACATGCGTACGTACATGCATACATACATGCATACATACATGCATACATACATACATACATACATACATACATATGCTCATACAATTACTTAACTTGAGCAGTTTACACCTTGCACGAGCGACTCTGCATGTGGCACGGGTGGTGACTCTGGTCGAAACTCCATTTGCCAACAGAACGGGGGCTCTCTTAGTTTGGGCCCCCTGCTAGAAACATGTCCCTATTTAGGGGTCTATATGGGGGTCCAAGCTTTTCTGGAGCGCTTTAGGGAATCGGATCTTTGGTGCCTGAAATTTGCCGGGCTTCTGGCTACTTGTCACTACTGGGATCTAAGAACCCATCAAGAGAGCCTAGAACTCTAGTGCAGGTGAGCTTTTGTTTTGTCTTGGAATCATCAAAGAAAGGAGCGATTTCACGATCGGGGCGCCGTAGTCCACTCTTCGGAGCTCGCGATCCATTGCTGAAAAGTGGTCGTCCTGCACGGTTGTGGGACACTTTTAGCCCACGGCCCAAGCCCACCTCCACCCCCTAGGCCCCTGGAGTCCGCAAATCACCCAAACAAGCATCGCATCTTTGACAGGTGATTTGGGGAACGGCATCGGGGATTCCAGGGGGTGGGTTTGCCAGTGGCTGAAATGACAGAGCTCTCGCGGTTGCGGGGTTGATGTTCCTGTCACCTACAGCTCAAGATTTCTCCAGTAGGCCCCCTCTGCCTCAATGAACAGTGTGTCACAGGAATTGAGTAAGCCGACTGAATTTGAGGATACTATTGCGGTTATGCTGAATACCAGTACAACCATGCGAGTGAGCACCCACTTACTTGGTCCCGTCAGCCTCTAACAGTGTCCGCGATTGGGTACAGACTGGAAAGTGGCTGCTCACCAAGGGCAGCCTTCCCCCCCGCGTGACGAGCAACACCTGCCCGAGCCAAAGCCTCTCCTGCTCTGGAGCTGTGGACCTTCTTGCGATTGCGAACGAGGCTGCTGACTCGCCGCCTCCAGAAAGCAGAGGCAGAGTAGGAGCTTAGGACTAGGAGCTTTGGGCTTCGGGCCTTCGGGGTTCGCAATGTTGGAGTTTGGAGTTCGAGAGCTCTATGCTTTGGGCGTTTTGGTCTGAGGTTTGAGGGCGAGGCGGTGGCGGAACCATGGGTCCCCAACTCTGCTGCGCAGAGATAGGCTGCCGGTGCAATTCAAAGTCCCGCTGCCTGCTCTGCGCTGCCATGAAGTCATGAAGATGTGGAGATTGAGGCTAACGGTTAAAGCCTGGACCGTAAAGCTTACAGTTTCCAGGCCTGTAGCAGCGACACAATTGGCATCTCGTCATCGCTTGCCCAGGTGGTGGAGGACTGACTACCTGACCAGGTTGAAAAGTTCGGGATGCCCCTGCCCAGGTCAGGGCGCTAGGAAGCCAGTCTAGATCTGCCGATGGTGGCCCATGCTGCCCGGATACCCGAAGAGGAGGCACGCAGTCCAGTGCTCCGTGCACCGCTTGAGTGAGATCGACTTCTTAAGAGGAAGAAGAGAAGCTCAAGAGCCCCCCCGGGCATTGCACACCTCTCCACTCGACAATCCCAGGCACAGGCCTCATCTTTCAAATGTCCTTGCATCCTGTAAACACTGTAAAGTAAGAGAAGCTCAGACCGAAGACATCGCGAAGAAGGCGAACACTGTGTGGCAATCCTGAAGCCTAAATCTGCCGAAGCGCTGTCGGTCAACGCCATATCATGGCCACTGTGGTAGCCGGGCAGCGGCGGAGTCGCTCGCTGCATCTGCTGGAAATACCTTTGAGGAGTGCTGGGAGTGCCGTGAGACGTCGGCTAGCCTAAAAAAACAAATCGCAGGTGAAGACTTCGAACTCTGCTCTCCCTCCTTGCACTTCAACGAAAGCCACGAAATCTCATCCAAGTCTGGGTTGCTTGCACACCTACTTATTGTCGCCTCGTCTTGTATTCTTGACTCCGAGTTGCTTCATACTTCCGTGCATCGGCACATGGGACATGACCTCCTATTCTGCCTACTCCTGCGGAAACCTTGAACATCACATCTGAGGCGTGCAAGCACTGCAAAGTGGGCCAATAGCCACCGACCCAGCGAAGCTGCCGTTCACCCGTCTGAAAGGATCTTCGTTTGGCTGCTTTACCAGGAGATGCCTTCAACTCAACACACAGAAAGAAACAAAGTCCTTGAAACCCAAATCATCCCTTGAAGTCAGGCCGGTAGGATCGACTGCATCGAGTTTCCTGCGCTGCACTTCTGCACTTGAACTTCGCAAGACTGGCGCTAAGCCCCAAACTGAAGCGATAAGCAGGTGGGCTCCTGTCAGCCGGACTACGAAGACTGCTGAGCCTCCGACTGGGCCGTGACTCTGATGTCTTGATCTGAAAAACTTCTTTTCTGCACCCAGCTCATCAGAGGCTCATCATTCAGGCCCGGTATCGCTTGTCAGACAGAGCTTGGAGAGATCCTTCAACAAGCTGACTCTAAAATGGCTGCAGTATGTGCGACCCATTTAGGGAGCTGCCACACTTTTGCTTGATGGATCCACCACCCTCAATATAGCCGCATCCACGGGATTGTTCCATGTGATAAGCACCGTAAACTGAAGACAAAGGCAGGCCGCGCAGTGCCAACGGGCAAACAGGCACACCTTTCTGAAGTAACACGGTTGTAAATTGAGCTTCCGGAAAGCTGGGCGGCATCTTTGGCCAAGATGGCAGGGCTGGCAAGGGCTCACGGGGCGACCCTTGACCCTGCCAAATGCGCAAAAACACATCTCTGCCTGCAACGAAGGCCATATCATCCACCATGAAATCCCGGGTGTTGTCTTTATGACTGGCTTGGGGCAAGTTCCCTTTGCAGCAATCTTTGCTGCAGTAACAGTATGAAAGATGCTCATTCGTGAGGCCTTCAATGTGGTTAGCTGAACGCACGCGACTCAGGAAACATCCAACTTTCAGCGCTCTTACGGGGTTTGGGATATCCGTCAGCGTGAGGAAGTCGGGTCGGATCTTCATGAAGACGGAATACCGAAGGTTACACTTTGCCTCCCTCTGGAGGACAAGTTGAAGGCAGCTCCTCAGTCTCATCCTCTGATTTGGTGCATCGAAAGCAAACGCCGCAGTCACCCAAGATGGCATCTCGCCGGCAAGCTGCTCCGTGCACACGAAATATTCAGGTATAAATCCAAAGGACTTCAATGGCTCCAGCACGTGGACCTGCTGTGATTTGGAGATTGTGGAGATCCCTTTGCGAAGAAGGGCTGCACGACCAGTTTCGTTGAACTCCTTTAGCCAGAGCGTTTTGCTACTGCTGATGGGATCAAGGAAATTCCCCCAGAGGCCCACCACCATGATCGCTGCGCCTGTGTGATTCGCACCTGCCGTTTCTTTGCACGCAGATGGCGCTCTGCTCCTTTTCAGGTTGATGGCGATCGATGCCTGGGCAGGCTTCGGCGCTGCCGACTGCACCCGAGCCAAGATGTCGTCGAAGTCCGAAGTCACGTTTGGGTGGCTCTGGTTTTCGGTGAGTATGATGATTGCATAGGACCGCCAAAGTTTAGATTCGAACTGCTGAGAAATTTGCATAAGCAAGAAGGTGAGAAGCGCGGTAGAGATGCATGTGCAGAGAAAGCAACGTGCGCTGCAGCAAGAGGCCATCCCATGTCATCGGATGCCATGGCCAGGTTGACCCCGTTAGACACTCGGGCCAGCGGCAGAGAAAATTCTGCAATGCTGCGACCGTCTGCGAAGGCTCAGGACTGAAAGTGTTTTCAACCCTTTCTTCCGATGTCTTGAAGGCTCTGCAACGCACTGCAGACACTGGCTCAAGGGCGGATGCTTGCCTAGGGAAGTGCACGCTTCCTTCCCTGTTGCATAACTTGAAGTTGTACGAGTAGCTTCTAACTGACCACATGAGCTTTTAGCATTGTAAAAGATATGCAGTGGCATGGATGGCAATTCGTGACTCTCCAAAGGCCTGCGCCTACAAGTCTGAAGCACGAACAAGAACTTTCAAGAGCCTGGGCCTGGACCAGACAGTGTAGCACGAACTCCGCAAGCTTCGTCCAAACACATTATTCATGCCACAGTTAAGCCGAAAATCCTCGAGTGCCTGCGACCCGCCTCAGCTTGCCTATGTGCAGCAGTATTTCGAAGGTGGACAGCGAAGCTCTGGTGTTAGTGGTTTTCCGGGGAGGCAGAATGTGGCTTTTCCCCACCCTTTCAGAGGCAGGACCCCTTGCCGATGCCACCAAGAACTCTGCACCGCAGGGCGTGGGAAAGGGGGAGGCGGGCCTTCGGTCTGTGAAAAACCCGGTTCCTGCAGAAGGACCCCAACCGAAAACCCAGCCTGTTGCCATCGACTTTGTCGCCGTGTGCCATTTCGCGCAAGAGTCTTCGATTCTCGAGCATGCACTGCTCCCGCTCGGAAGGCGAGCACATCCGCAATGTGAAGCATGTGAGGCAAATGCGTGTCCGACCCAGAGCCGGCGAAAGACGCAGAAACGTTGCCGAATGCATGGCATGCCAGGTCGAGTGCAAGACAGAGTACTACAATACTACATTCGCAAGGATTATGGCCGTATCCACTGCATATCTGCACCCGCACCCCTCCTGTGGCTCACATAAAAGTTGCAAGCAGTGTGGGAGATCTCACCGGCACGTCATGCAAAGTCAGCTGGAAATGGCAAAAAGCATGGGACTTTGCCCATGCGACAACGCAGGGTGTCAGGCCTTTAGAGCTGTGGCCGTGGCTTCGCAGCGACGATTGACAGTATGAACAGATCGCAGTCCCTGAACCCTGCAGACGACCTTGCCCACGGTTATACATGCCGCTGTCAAGCCTTGTAACCCTGTCAAAAGATGGCCCCCACTGATGAGACTCGGGCAGGCGCGTGGAACTAGCAGGGAACATCGGGAAAGCAAAGCGTCACCGTGCCGCTGCCGAACGCCATCCAGTAGTCGTCGTTGTCCTGAAGCGACAACTCAGGGTCTTTGGACACATTCCGATAAAGCTCTTGGCTCTAGCTAGATTGTGGATTTCCGAGGCCCGTAGTTCACGAAATGAAAGCCGAATTCTCCCTGGAACTGTCTCCGGACTGGGGAATCACAAGGGCATCAAGACAGTGAGACCGGCTCTACGCTTACTGGAGCGCACCTCTTTCCCTACACGGCACTCGGCGGTTCTGCTTGGAACCTTTTCGAGTCGACAAAATCTGGAAGAGTTTCTACGGCACCCAGATGCTTAACATCTGGCTCAGGAAGGAAACCTACCCTGAAACCGACACCCCTTGTGAAGATCCAATTACCACAGGCCCTCAATCTTCAATTCCTTAAACCCTAGAATCCTCAAACCCCAGTCTAAGACCCTTCAAGTGAGAGGTGTCCTTCTGGCAGTCGCTGCCGAGGCCGTTGATCGGAAACCTCGGCTTCGCTAGGTCCTTTTCGCACGTGCGGGGAGTGTGACGAATGATGCAGCGTCACCCCAAACCCTGCAGTGCCACATGAAGCCCGATAGGAATCGGTGCGAAAGGCCAAGCAGCGTTTTGGCTTGGAAATCGACAGAGCCGTCCCGACCACAGGGGACGTCCTGCCCGGGAACCCGAAGCTTACCATAGGGCTGTATCCTTCTTAGAAGGTTTAGGATGTGAAGGTTCCAGCTGTTGGCAGTAGGATTGTTCAGGTTCTGGGAGCAGGGTCCTAGCGCTCAGGGCTCTGAGTTCCTTGGACCTTTCAACAGCTGAAGACTCGCGGCTGTAGAACTGAAGGGTACTGCCGAAGCCTCCGGAACTCGACATTCAAACCCAAGCCAACGCAAGGGCTGCACAGCGCTTTAGAATGGTTTCGTAGAATCATAGCCGAGGGTCATGCGACAAACCGCTGCTGCTGCTGGCGCCAAGGTTGTTCTTGACGGACACCAGATAAATCCTCATATTCGGGGGCTTTGGGGCTGCGGTTCCACTGCGGAATTTTGAAGTGGCTTCGAAAGTTGAGGCCTTTGGGGACATCGCCAGGCACCTGACAAGTGACGAGCTCGGCGCTAGAGAGTTTTTGACATCTGTGAACCCAAGGGCTCAAAGCTCTGAGACTCTTGGACCTCTTAACCTGGGCAAGCGTCTTTTGCGGCATCTTGGTTTCAATGTTCACGTATCCATCGCTGGGACTCCAGTCGAAGCTGAACTCGCCCCCAGGTGGCACTACTTGCCACGTTTTTCCACCCTGAGCTGATGGAAACAGAAACCCATGACGTCAGAAGGTCGCACAACTGCTTGGACACTCGAGGACCAACCTGCTTACAGAGAGAGAGAGAGACAGACAGACAGACAGACAGACAGACAGAGAGAGAGAGAGAGAGAGAGAGAGAGAGAGAGGCTTGTCGTTCCTAAGCATGTTTGTATCCTGGGAGAAGTCGAGCTGCCTTGGTCAGAGTCCGGCCATACTTGGAGGGCGTCGCGCTGCAGGGCTCTGCGCCGCTTCCGGAGCACGACAAAGCAGTGTAGTCCTGGTGCGATGCTGCAGACTTTGTCAGATACTCGTCCGAGTGACGGAAGGGAATACTGGGTTGGGAAATGAAACACACACAGACATGCACATGCACGTGCACGCAAAAGCAGTGCACAACAGAGATCTAGACTAATTGACAAATAAATGAAAGACTACGTAAATGAATGAATGGATGGAGCTGACTGGCAAGGAATGGAGTGGAATGGAATAGATGAAAGATTGAATAAGTTAATGAATTGAGGAATGAAAGAATGATTGATTGATTGATTGAATGAATGAATGAATGAATGAATGAATGAATAGAAGGACTGAATGACTGAATGCATGCACGGATGGATGGATGAATGAACGAATGAAATGGTGAATGAATGAATGAATGAATGAATGAATGAATGAATGAATGAATGAATGAATGGATGAATGGATGGAATTGAATGGATGGAGCTGAATGGAATGGAAAGGAATGGGATGAACGAATGAATGAATGATTGAATGAAATGCACGGATGCATGGATGAATGAATGAACGAACTAACCAATGAATAACGGAAAGGCTGGATGGATGGATGGATGGATGGATGGTTGGGTGGATGGAAGGATGGATGGACTAATGGGTGATTGGGTGATCGGGTGATTGGATGAATGGACGAATGGATGAATAGATGAATGGATGAGTGAATGAATGAGTGAATGAAACGGAATGAGCGAATGAACAGGAATGACTGAATGAAATGGAATGAATGAATGAAATGGAATGCAAGAGTGGAACGGAATGAATGAATGAATGAAATGGAATCAACGATTGAATGAATGAGTGAGTGAATGAATGAATGAATGAATGAACAGATGATTGAATGGATGGATGAAGGAATGGATGATGAGCTGGCTGAATGGATGGATGGATGGATGGATGGATGGATGAGCGAACGAACGAACGAAGGAACGAAGGAATCAAGGAATGATGGAATGAAGGAATGAAGAAATGAATGAATGAAGAAATGAAGGGATGGTATGGAATGAATGAATGAATGAATGAACGAACGAACGAACGAATGAATGAATGAATGGATGAATGCACGGATGAATGCATGGATGAATGCATGAATGAATGAAGGAATGAATGGACTGAATGAATGATTGGTTGATTGATTAATTGAATGGCATGAATGCATGCATGCAAGGATGGACGGATGAATGAATGAATGAATGGATGGATGGATCAGCGAATCAGGGAATGAGTGAATGAGTGAACGAGTGAGTGAATGCATGTATGCATGTATGTATGCATGCACGCATTTACGAAACGTATGAATGCAAGTATGCAGGTGCTCCTTTACGTATGTATGCATGTACGTTTGCATTACTGTACGTATGAATGTATGTATTTAACGGATGCCCATATCGAATAAGAGTGTATGCACGTGTGTATGCATTTACACATGTATGTATGCATACATGCATGCACAATCCATGCATGCATGTCTGCATGCATGTGCGTATGCGTGTATGCATGTATACCTGCACGCATGTATGTCTGTATGTATGCGCGTATGCCTGCTTCCATGCATCCATGCATGCATCCATGCATGCTTGCTAAGCTTGTTCTAGACCCGCTCCCTCACCTCCACTCTGACTCCAGTGTAATCCCCCTCCCCCCCTGTGGGTCCCTGTGGTCCATGACTATTGCGGTTGAGCATCTGATTGCGTGGGGTTTGGGCCTTACGATACAATACAGATCCACTAAGCTCCGACCCGCCTTGAACTCCAAAGCCAATGGCAGTCCGAAGCTTATCATAGAATGACAACAGTCGATAACAAGCTACGAAAGAACATCAAGCCAAGCAAGCCGTCAAGAGCAATGGCACCACCACCAGTCACTCTCGGAATACCAGCATGCAAGAAGCACATCAGCGTCGTTGTCCAGCGATGTCCACAGCATCATCGCCCTCATTCTCATCTGTGTGGAGAGGGGGGTATGCGATTCAAGCCCACAAACTTGCGAAGACTGTGAGAGAGCTCCCACACAACGTCGATAGATACAGGATGATGATGCAGACGAGCGCCATCCCTGTGACTGTTGGCTGACGATATAGAAACAATGAATGTGTGCGTGTGTGTGTGTGTGTGTCTGTGTGTGTGTGTGTGTGTGGGTGTGTG